ATATAAATGTGGATAAAATAGAGACTGTTTTAGACATAAGTAAAACAGAATTGAGTAGAATTTTGGGCAAAAATAAGATCATTACTAACAGGAGACTAATGGGAAGGAAAGTCAACTTTAAAGATATCCATGAAATCAATGCTAACGAGACGTAAGTTTTCAAAAGTTTTCAAAAGTTTTCAAAAGTTGTTGTCTTAAACTTGATAAACAAATTCATTTCTGTCTTTATAAGCGAAACAAAACATTATTCATCAGCGGATTTGTCGAAGAATTTCCAAACCCATAGAATTGTTATCAATTTCACTGAAAGTTCAATGAAGTTATACAACAACGAGACTAACATAGCGTTCAAAGTGGACAAAACATCTGAAACATTGAATTCTACGCTCAATACATGCGAACATTCGTTACGATTGAATCATACCTTTCATCACAAATCAAACAATACTAAAGACATTTGTTCAGCAATTTATTCATTTTATTGCGATATTCATGATTGCGTCCAAAAGACTGTTCAAAAGCCTATCATTTAATACATTATTCTTATACTTTATTTTCTATAATTCATTCATAATTTTTGTATTTGAAAACATTCCTACATTTATGTCATTTTAAACAGAATTTATAAAAATAATAAAATAAAAGTTATTGTCTTAAATGTGTTGAACTAAGCCATATCATCCTGGATCATTTGAGAGCCATATTCAGCGATCATAACGGCTGCGGGCAAGTGGTTGGAGTTGACTCCTTGAGGCATAATAGACGCGTCCACTACACGAAGTCTCTTCACATTTATCACTCGCAGTCTTTCGTCGACCACTGCTTTGCTATCAGCGGCTGATCCGCACCTACAGGTCCCAACTGATTGACAAATTGACAAACTTATCAAGTCAATAATTCTACTATAATAGTCTACTATAAATGCAAACCATGTCTATAGACTGCTTGTGCCGTTTGCCTCACAAGACATCTGAGATACTCGTCGCACTCGTCATCGTAACCACATTTACGACATCCCGGGACTGTTGTCGTTATTCTTCGGGTTTGAGCCGCAAATGGACCCACAGTTGAGATGCGAGTTATCATATTTCTGATGCCATTAACCGTGGAGTCCATGTCGTACGGATCGCCTAAATAGTTTGGGTCAACAATTGGGTCTACATTTGGATCTCTGGATGCGAGTCTAACTGTGCCACGAGCTCGAGGTCTTACCATCTGATTATACATTAATAAAAGTCTTCGACCTATAAATGATTATAAACTAATCTAGTAGAGTTTATACTCTAAATGACATAAAAATATTTTTAAACATATAAATGGCTAACAATACCGACATAGGGTCGCCAATAATCCTCCCATTCCTTTACGTGAGATCCGTATTGTCGGGTGATATCAGACAAATTGTACCACAAATTGTTACTCCGAGTCATTTCAGTCATGATGTCTGGCCAGTCCTTTTGGTTGTTCACTTGTGTGACCTGATATGTGGCCGCATTGGGAAACATAGTGAGAGCGCCGGCAGAGTTGATGTAATACTCGTACAGATTCTGAACCGTCAGTTCCACCAATTCATACGATTGGCTCTGATCTAAGATATCAAAGTTGAGGACAACAGACGTGTGGTCGTGGAAGTTGTTTCCCACGGGTAGGTCTGACAGCACCGGTATATTGAAACTATTTAAGTGATTTTTGGGTCCAATTCCAGACAACATAAGCAATTTAGCTGATCCTATCGCACCTACTCATCAAACACTCATTTAATCATTTAAGTGACAATGAGTTTATTGGGTGACAAACCTGCAGAAAGTATGACTTCCCGCGTGGCGTCAACACTATATTGGACCCCATTTCTTGTAAATTGAATTCCTCTGGCATTTAATCCACTAAACAGTATCTTTGTAACCATGGCTTGAGTCACAATATGTAAGTTATTTCTGTTTAGGTTTGGAGTTAAATACGCTGAAGAAGTGGTCACTTTTATGCCGTCTCTTATTTGGTGTTGAAATAATGTTGAGCCCAATTGTGTTGGTCCTATAAATTTAAAGTCTATTGTTATGTAACATAAACATTTATCCGATAATCTAGACCATTGACATCAATGGTAGGATATCCCGCCATCGCTGCTGTTTCGATGAATGTCTTAAAGATTGGCAAAGCGTTCAGATGACCCCAGTCTGAAGACACAGTCATGACACCAGAATTGCTGTGATATTTTGAATTCTTCATCAAATAAGTGGAATCCGTGTTATTCTCAGCTCTCAAGAAATATTGCAGAATATTGTCGTAATTCCAACCCAAACAGCCATACCGTGAATGCCATTCATCAAAATGATTACGATTTCCTCTGTTGTAAACCATTCCACCTTTGAATTGAAACCAAGAATGTTCAGATTATTGATACCATAAGTAACCATAAAATTGTACTCAATGTGGACGATCCGCCCAATACTTTGCCGACAGACATATGGATGGGTCGGTTGTAGGCGCGCGCTATGTTTGGCTGATCTGCGATCGGATAATTCCAATCAAACTCCGGATTACCAGTGATTGAGAAATAATTGGCCGGAATATCGGTGATCACTGTCTCGGGTCCGCCCGCTTCCAGCAATAAGACTCTGATATTGGCATTTTGCGAGAGACGGCCGGCCACTACGGCACCGGCAGCACCAGCACCCACCACAATATAGTCATAATTAGTATCCCATGATTTTCTTGAGCTACTATTTAAGTGCTGTAATTGTCTTTGAAGTGTTATTATAGATATTGTTATTAATTGCAACGAAAGGCTGGCTGTAATTAAAGTCATTCTTAACTATTTGTTACAAACATTTAGTGGTTTTATAAATATCACAACGATTTCACTTTTGTTCAATAAATGTGTATAAAAAATGTAATATATTTTTTTGTTCATATTAAAATCATATTAAACTTTTATTATATAATTCATATGATATTGATTATAAAATCTTAAATAAATTAGATAATTCGATATAATGGTGCCTTTATATGTTTGCATTTATAAATTGAATTAAAATTTTATTTTGAAACAGATTTTTAACTTAAATAATAAATTAATATTTGCAAATACTGTATATATAAATATATAATATGATAATATATAAATTATATAATATATATTATATAATACGATACACTAACTTTTGTATTAATAAATTGATATACTATAAAATACTGAATATTATAAGTAATGTATTATATTGTAAATATATTTTATTCTGATACCTCTTATCATTTTATGAATATTACATTAGAATAACTATTACTACTATTAGAATATTACTTATTATAGAGAATATCTTAGCATATATTTAATGTTTTTATGTAAATTTTGTGTAACTTAATGCACTACATTTTAACTAGAGGCATCAAATAGTATATTTTTACTTTAAATCACATCTAATAGTCATAACTATAATATTACTACATTTTGAAAAATATTTATTATTACAATCAAATTGACTCCAATTTATAACTAAACATGGTTTTTAAAAAGGGTCAGTCGACCTTTCACTGCATTTTCAGGAAAACCTAAATATTTTAAGTGTTTTGCGTTTATCATATTAGGAAATCTCAAATTCAATATTTTATTTGTATTGATGTGAAAATAAAATTGTTTTGACAACACATTAAAAGCTATATTTGTCACAAATAGTCACTTGTCTTCACTAATAAGCATTTTGTCATAAAAACTAAACATTTATTTGTTATTTTGTTATAAAACTGCAAATATGTATATCTCTACAATTATTTTATTATTTAGTCCAAGAGCATTTAATTCAAAAAATAATTAGCTATTTATGGGAATAGTCATAACAATAGTAAAGAGTAAATATATTTTTGATAAAATGTTTTGTTATACAATATAATACTAGAAATAGTTATACAAAGAATATTATTAGAAAGTAAGATATGTTTAGCTAAATATACAGTAATAATATTATTGACAAAGATACTGTATTTCTCTACTAAGTTTTCCAATGATTTTGTCTCAACTGAATCGTGACTAAAATAAAAACACTGACATTACTGAATACCATATTATATAATGTGAGTTTTGTGGTCAATTTGATACAAATTTAATGCAATTCACATAATTTGGATGAAATAATGTAACGAAACGAGTGATGATATTGAGTAACAAGTCATAAGTCATAGGAATGGACACAATATTTGGCTATAATTCTCATCGTTTTAGTCAAAGGATTATTTGTGCGGTTAGTTTGACGTGAGAACAGGAGTCGATATTATTTACTCAAATCCACTATAATATTAATATAAGTGTTGATTACTACTGAGATATCATTGGTTTCAGATGTAAGTGATACCACTCAAGACGTGGATTGCAAATATTAGTGCAAATAATATAATAATCAATTTTTGACATTTATCCACAGTATTGTGTAGTAATTTATACAAATGTCATTGAATAGTTTGCAATTGATTTTGAATCATAATTTTTTTATAGTTATCAAATGATTAAATTTAAAATAATTCACTGTTACTACTCTCAATTTACTAATTAGCATTAGGTTTTTAATTAAGCATTTTCAATTAAATCAACTCACAATAATTAGTATGCTAAATAATTAACTAAATTTTATTTTTGTATATCTAATAAAGTAATAAATTATTATTATTTTGTTTTAGTTTAAGTTAAAATATAACTTTATTGAATTAATAAATGAATATTTTTAATGTATTTAATCACAAAATTAAAACAAAATACAACATTATCTTAATGAAAGCCTATCGTATTTTAATGATAAAACAATATCTTATTAATAATTTAGTATTTATTTCTTTTACAATAAAATAATAAATATTTAATTTAATTTTTATTATATTATTTATTTTTAAGGTACTTAAGTCCTCTTTGATTATTATGTAATTGAATAAAATTTATTTTATTTATTACTTCTATTTATAGCTCGGAAATTGTTTTATAAGAGATATAAGATATTATAAATATATACACTAAAATATCATGTTAATTAATTTATTACTATTATAAACATTAAATTTATCTAACCATCAAATTATTTATAGAAAAATACAATCATTGATTTATAAACTAATTTATTTATATTAATTGAATTATATTTAGATAAAAAAATATATTAATAAAGTACTTACAATGAAAAATTAAATAATAGTTAGTTTATTAATTATACTAAACATTAATAAGATGAATATATCTATTTAATAAACATTTCATAGATTGTGTGACATTGAAAAATAAATATCTTATATAATTTAATTTAAAGAATAATTCTGTATTATAATTAAATTTTAATATTTAATAAATTAATTATACACTAATTTATACTACTGTAACTTTTTTCTGCAAACATTAAAATAATTACAAGTTATCCACACTTTATGCAATAAAGGCAATAAGCCATATAAATGAAATTATATAATTTATTTACATACTTAATTATACTTACACTCAACATATCTCTTAATTCAATTTTAAAACAACACAAATATAGTAAATATAATTTATTTAGTCTATTTTTGCACTTAATGTAACGGGTGTCTCAGCGTATTAGCAGGATTTGTTGGGACACCCTATAGTTACGGATTATACTTTTGTTAGAGGTTTTCACTTTATTGTTCAAAATACTAACTTATTTTGTTAATATATATACAGTATATAAATTTGAATCAAACAAATAATTTATTATTTTCCAAAGCTTATTTGTAATAAAAAATTATTACGTTTATAAAAATAATAATCAATAAATATAAATATAACAAAAAATCTGATAAAATTAAATATCTATATTAATAACTTTTTTTCATTTAAAACTTTCATCAAATTTATTTTTAGTATAATGTCTAATGTAGTCTTTTTTAGATTTATACATGGTAACTTCACAATACATGGTACAATCCATTACATGGTAACTTAATCTATCATTTTTTGTAATTGCCTTTTCTATTTCATTCATATTTCTGTAATCTATATTAGAATTAACAAATCAATGGTTTATAAAATATTTAATATTGTACCGCAATCTAAATGTTTTTGATATGTTAAAGAATAAAATAAAAATATATTTCATTTTAAAGTCTACATATTAAACAAATATTTAATTTTCTTTTAACGCTAATGATGATAATAAGTGGTAATTAAAATATGTGTTATAAAATTGTGCTGAATTTTATAGATATTTAATATATAAAATTAAATACAAATAATCGTTTCTATTAATTAAAAAGATATTCATATAAAAGTGAGACAATCAATAATTCACTGGTAGGCATACAAAACCTAATGTTAACACAAAACTACTAATAATTAAAATTGAGTACTAATGTGGGTCTGAACTAAATATTTAAAAAATAGGTGATAACTAGAGCACAATTTGATTTGAATTTATTTATAAACATTACTCAATAAACAAAACCTTTTTACATCTCTTTCTCAATTTCATAATTTAATGCAAAAACAATTATCTGAATTTTTGGCATCAATTCTAAATCCATATAAGATTTGCATTGAGTTGTCATTTAAATATTCTGAACATTTCTGAAAATAGCTTTTATTATAGGAATAAAAGTGCATTAAACTGAAGAATACATTCATATTTAGAATTCTTGAACAATTCATTACTAAGTCTTATGGAAATAATTTTTCAATTAACGGAATAATACATAAGAATCTTAACAATGAATTTTCAGTTCAATAAAAGGAATCAAAATATAGTATTTTTTCTGATTTGAGTGTTTAGTGCATAATCGGTGTTATCATTGGTGTTCACAACCACTGAATCAAAGGCACAAAATAAAATTTTCTAATATTTTTTGCTTTAAATCTCTTGAAAAAAAGTAAAACTTGTAATATTACAAAAAATATATATCATTATAATACACAAGAATTGAAAACTATAAAAAGTTTTAGTTATTAATTATTCAAGTTTAAAAAGTAAAAATTATTTGATTAAAATTTATTTTTTAATTTTATGAACATTAAGGGAGCTGCTAATTAAACATATAAAATCAAGAATCTTTTTCATAGTATATAAATTGTTAATTTTAAAAATCAAATAATTCTAAAAGTTTGACATTTCATTTCTGAGGGTTTATAGGAAAATGTTATTTCAATGTCTATTTATTTGTGTTGAAGTGAGTACTGAAACACAACTTCATTGAAAGGCAAGGAATTAAAAGCATTTTATGGACCATAATATGTGACGCAAACTGAATATCCGTTATTTGGATCTCAACTCAATTACAATTATCGAGAACTCGACTCTAATCCCATAAATCTATTGAAACTGAAAACTCAATGACTGGAAAAGTGAACAAAAATTAAGATCCGATGAGATATTTGATTAATGAACACAATTATTGGCAAAATAAATTAAACTTAATTTTGTTATATATTAAACAAATTATATTCTAATCAAAATAAGAAAGCTTGTTTTATTTATTTTGATAATGATAGCTATTGGTTAACCAATCGATAAAGTAATTAATATAAACTATAAATTAGTATAAATATTTTTCAAATGTATACATATTTACAGATACAGAATATTATGAATAAAATTGGCTAACATTTTATAAAACAATTCTCTACTAAATGTGTACTAAACAAGTGTTTTGAGTACTAATTAAAGAATGGCTTAATTTATTTTAAGTAATTTATGGCTAAAACCGTGGGTATCATGACTTGAATATTAGATTTTATGTAATACTCAACGATAATTATAAATAAGTTTTTACATAAAACATAATGACCAAAATTATTGACCTTCTCATACCATAAGCTTTAACAACAAACCACACAACAAATATGAATTCATTTAACATAGTTTATTCAAATAAAATGTTATGCATAAATAAACGTGACATTAACTACAGACGATAAATACAGTATTTTGGTTTTATATGAATGATGAATTGAGTTTTAATATACTTTTTACATTTCTTTTAATTCATAACTAATATGTAGTGATATTTATATAATTAGAAAATCTAGAGTATTTACATAATGACGGGGGTTAATTCTAACCTTTAATAATAGTAATATAACAGACACATTTAGATTTACATACGATAAACTAAATTATTAAAATAGCATAAATATATTATTTATCTGCAAATCTAAACATGATTTTATTATAAATATTATCGCAAAATAATTTCATTCATATTTGCAGAACACGTAAATGAGTGACTCTTATATTAAAATTATTTTCATTTTATTGGCCACAAATGCCATCATAGGCTGTGTTTGTGCCGTATATATCAAAAAGAGTCCAATATTTACCCAAATATATTAAAAAGTATATCAAATAAAATACGGAAAATGGACTGTTTGTACGCTTTTAACATTTTTATGAAAATCAGTGAAAACGCAAACGAAATGATAAATAAAGATATGTTTTATTGACAATCAAAGCGATCACTGACTGTTTGCCACATTTCCACACATATTGTATATACTCTTCACTCGACTTCTCATCAAATCTACTCTTCAAAGACTATTCATATGGATATCCACTCAGACTCTCATCATATTTATTATAAACTTATAGAGAAATATGTCTTAAAATGATATAAACCTAGAAAATAAGACAAATTTTAACCAGTTAATATAATAACCAATAAAGTGATAACAAATTAAACCTAAAGCTAAACAAATTCTGTTAAGCTTATTTAGGCAGTAAGTAATTACTAAATGAATAAAAAACAATTACATAATTATTCATTATTTTTACAAAAATATAATATTAATATTTATTGTTAAATAGAGTAAAAACTAATTAAATTATAGTCTTTTCTTATGACACAAACAATAACTTCATTATATTCTTCACTCTATTTCCATAGCCAAGAGTGTTATGTATTACAGTATAGAGTGTAATGTGTTATCATATGCTGTTCGGCGAGCATTGGCTCGTCGTTTGACGAAATAGTCTCGTGACTCACGACTCACTCTCACCACCGCTTCCACTGTCTGTTCCCAACCCTAAGACACAGTAAACCATATATTCTGTGCATATATTCTGTGCCCGAAAACTATATAAACTTTGTAACGCAGACTGTTTGCCATCATTTGTCACACCAGACCATCATTAAGTGTTTTATCGATACATATTAATATCCGAGTCGTTAATAAGTTTACTGTTTTCTAAATTGACCTTTTCTAATATTCATTGGACGTTATAGAAATCTGAATATTTGATAAAACTATTATTTGGCTAATCTTTATTTGACAATAATATATCACAAGATTTTATCTCTTGAATTAACACTTATTAAAAAATATTTGGGTAAGTATTTACAATGACTTTAAAGTTTAAAATCATATTTGAATTATTAATTCTCAAATATTAGATTGACAATTATGTAACATTTATATTAATATACTATACACTGTTAACATTCTATTATTTTAATAAGATATATAATATTTTGTTAACACTTTACCAATTAAATTATCAGGATATTTTATTATTTTATAAAGAATTAGTCACATAAGTGTGAAATATAATTATATCTTTATCTAATAATTAGCTTATTAACAATATTTAAAGAATTTTACATAATAAACTATACTGACCTATAAAATAGAACCTTGAGCAACTAAAGTTGCCTTAATTATTGACAAGTTGGTATACTAATATGTTATCATATAAATTATTACATATTTACACACTTTGATAAATATTCAAAAAATGTCACCAGGTTTATTAGATATTTGGTCGCAGATTTTATTATTTGAATAAAAAGCATAAGTTTTGCGTTAAGTGTAATACTGTCTACTCTTAACATAAATCGATGTAATATTTGTATGAAAATGTTTAGAATATGTGTCATATATTGATATAATTTACTATCTTTTCAATTAACTCTTAATGTAATCAAAGCTAACGGTTAATATGATACAAGTAGTGCTCATTTATTACTTTGTACTCAAATTATAACTCTTATGTCCGATGTTTTGTGAACCAGAAATGAAGAAATAAATTAAGCGACAAACTAAACCGCTGAATACCGTTAGATATCATGTATAGACTACTCAAATAAATAAGATTTTTTCTTCACTAAATCCTTCATTTGTATAAGTAATACAAAAAAGCTTTTTTCCTTATAAATTGTCACAATTGTGTGAATTAATTCTCATTGAGATCTGAATGAATTCAAAATTTGCTTTTAATATTCCGACAATCTATTCAATTTATGTGATAATAAACTTATTAATTTTTTCTAACTCTCAATATCACGTTATCATCTATTTAATTACAAATGTATTTATTATTAAATTTATATTAATATTTATTATTGAATTTGTATATAAATTGAATTTACTACAAATATTTCAATTGAAGTTAATTAAAATAATATAACGTATATAAATTAATATATAAGTTATAAATAATTATTGGATGGGATTACACTTATGGTATATAGGGTCCTCATTAGGGAATCAAGCTTGTTCATTACTGATATTTACATAAACTTTATTTCAACTTTTCAAAATTGTAATATATTTTATTAAGTGTTTTTTACATAACACTTTCAACGACCTTTTTTATTTCAAATTAATTTAAAATAAACTAAATTATGCAAAAATTATAAATACATAATTTTAAACATTTTATTAAAATATATTATACTAGTAAAATATTATTTATAGTAAGTTCTTATTTATAATTATATAATATATTATAAGATAAAGACATATGTCTTTAGATTCAATCAATAAAATATAAAAATAGTTTGGAAATTAGATTTGTGAACATGTTTTATGATAAACTAATGCAGTGATATAAGTTATTTTGCTAAATATAGTTTATAGTAAATATCTGACACGAGTAAAATATTTTTATTGTTTTATTTCATTAATCAATACATAACTTGTGAGGGAATTCTAGCCAATAAATTACTTTAAATTCTGGCAGTTTTTACTAAATGTGCTGAAAATATAAATTATTTTGTGTATAATTCATTAGAAAAGTAAAAGAAATAAATGACTTTTGTGTACACTTTTCTTACCTATAAATGAGTTTTTATATAATAAATGATTTCCTATTTATATTTCTTTAAACAGTATTTGCAATTTTTATTTAATATTATTTTTGTTGCATTTCTTATAAATAATTTTAATCTCATAATAAAATTCGTATTTCTCATCGCATTTGACGTCAAATACTATTATAGGCCTAAAGTTTTTGAAGTGAAGAGCAAACAATGGATGAGAGAAAACACAATAACTTTAGTTTAGGATATAATATAACAGTTATTCACTTCAATTGAAACTGTTTTCAAGTGATGTTTTGCTCGTATTTTCACTGTTATTGAGATTCCTTTTATATTAACTTATAATTGATTTATTAGAAACAAATCACTAATAACTACGAAACCCTATTATAAGATAAATATATTGTTTTCGTATTGACTTACATATGTTTACTCGTTGCTAATGATTATCTATTATTTATTTCTTTCAACGCCTCATAAAGTGATGATTTTCTTGGCATTTAATATTTATAACAAATCATGGTTTATATAATACAGTGAAGCAAATACTGGTGTAATATATCATTCAATTCAATGCATAAAAAAGTTAGACCCAAAAAAGTTGCGAATAATTTATAAAACATTTCTTTCTGTTATAAATTCATTGTAAACTCAAATAAATTGACTTTCAGTACATGTCATCCATAATGATATCACTTTCATTATATCATATTTTAATGCCTTAAGCGTTGCATCAAAACAAATACTTGATTCAATTTAATTGCTTTCATTACAAAATATTTGATATTGTTTTTAGTTGAATATATTAAAATTTGATAAATGAAACTAATTTTGATAAATTAGTTTTAAATTTAAATATTCTCTCACTAATTTAAATGTCCTTTATATTAATTCTGCCGGATATTTGTCTAGAAACAACTTACATTTATTAATTGAATAAATTAAAATATTTTTATTAAATTTATATGAACTCAATATGATTCTGTAATCTATTTCTAATTTAATATTTAATGCATTTTTTATTATATCCAACTTAAGAATTCATTATCCATTAACCTTTAGCCCACATTCTACCCATTGAATCATAAAAGCAAATACCAGTAAATCTTAAATTCAAATTCAATGTTAAATCAAATCAAAACTTTTATTACATGTAATTCTTAATTTTATAGTAATTCTTGTCATTTCATTTCAATTAAATGTTTGACATTTCTATGTCAGCGAACTAATAGGCATTTCATTGAACAGTAAAACTGTAGTCCAGTGTTAGGTAAAGTAGAGGCAAATTAGTTTCACAGCAAATAAAATTGAATTTATAAAACATATCTGTCAGCCAATGGATTGCTTTTATTTTGTAGATACAGTAACTATAAAATATCTCTTATTCTTAGCGCACAATTTGTTTAAACACATCATAAAAACGCGAATAAAATTTTATGGACAGTGAAAGTGTGTATTAAATCTTTTTGAACCCAATCTCAGGCTCTCGACGACTGCCAAAAAACAAAACAAATATTCATTTAAATTTTACACTCATTTCAGATTTAAATTATTTATTAATAATTTATCCGTCGGTCGTGTAATAAAAACTTTCATTTGTTTACCGAAAGAAATAGAAACAAAAGATTTTGTGTTAAAATATTTATTTGGCTTAAAATAATACGAAAGTGAATGTAAACCACAGAGTAATGAATCAAATGTATTGTATTGTATTGTATTGTATTGTATTTCTTACGTCAAGGAAATGACTTATTTCTCGTCCCAAAGATACGTTTGTCTACAGAATAAGTTGATTCAAATATAATGAATTGATTTGGTTTTACTTAATTAAATATCTTTTATAAAATGTAATAAAACTTTCCAAACAAATAGACATTTATTGTCTTTATATTGGCTTTATTTGAAGAAATGGATTAATTATTTGTAAATTAAATTGTATTATGTTGTGATTGATATAACAAAAAGTCTAATATAGACGTGGGCTTTGTTTACGATCACATATTGTCCTATATTTATCGTATCTACTCGTAGCATCTATTTAAGGAAATTATCAATTATAAAACATTCAGTCAATATTTATTCATGAATGACTTATTTTTAAGTTAATATAGTATCCAAATATCAAATAAATGGTTTTTTGTTTATTTCAGACAATGAAGAATCTAAGCGGAGAGAAGTGTATTTTCATTGCTATAATAATATCCGTAATATATATCTCATTGATCTCAGCGTTTCCACAAAATGACAAAAGGTAACAAGTTCAATTATGTATTCAAATTGGGAACAATTCATTTAATACAATTAATATTTAATGTCTATGATATTTCATGTTTATGACTATAATATTCTTTATTTTATAATATCTTTACAGTATTAATACATAATATTATTAGTTACACATATTTTTAATTTGTTACAATTCTATTATTTAAATTCTTACATTGTCTTGTTTAATATTAGTTTATTAACTTTCTTTATATAAAATTTCCTAATATATATATATTATAATAAGAAAATAAAATATTGATATAAACATTACATTTTGAATTAAATAATTTCTAACTAAAAGTAGGAACCATTAACAAAATGTAGTTTTATATAAAATACTTTTATAATATAAAGTTCTTAGGGACATTTAATTTTATTATACTTCACGTATACAAGTAGTCTATCGTGCAAATTGACAACATATTTAGCCCTATATTCACTTAAAGTGATGCCAAATATGGATTTAAAAGACTAAAAATGTGAAAAAATAGTGAATAAAATGCAAATAAATGGCATATGATATTTTAAAACAAATACCAAATATTTGTATAATTTCAATACATAGTAGCTATGAATCCTGACAAATAAAATCTTAAAATATATTCCTAAAACTCATAAGATGTAAAAACAAACTTCTTTTATAAGTTATTTAAGGTTTTTTGTAATGCCTTGAATGCAGAATATTCTCGACCTAACTATTAAGATACAAAATCTTATTTTGATGTTTAAGTGAATTAATGAAAGAAAAATTTCTTTTTCTGTAAGACTTTTGTTTCGATCAAATGATTAAATGGGAGACAAAACTACTCCTACGACTCCTACAAGATATCGACAAACTCTTTATTGTTTTGTTATTGTCATTACATAATGAGTTCACGAAACTATATAAACATTGTTTAAAACACACTTTTATATAGAGTTTAAAAATAATTATGTAAATATTTGTCATTTTAATTAAGATTTTTATGTTTAAATCAGTGCATACGAACCCATAAAATATTTCCAAATATTAATATCTAATAAAGTAATTATTATTACACTAAATATCTAAAGCCTTTTAAGTATAGCATTTCATTTATTTGGGTTTGGAAATTTTAAATTAAGTTTAAAATTTTTCAAATATTTTTATAAATATTTACCATTAATTGAGTTAATTGAAAGAATGTCATATAATTTAGATATAAATTGATATGATTTCTGTTTTTATTTAATGAATCTCTACTTTCGGTACAAGTTTATGAAAATATTGTTAAATTCAAAGCAAAACTCTATTTCTTTTTTAGTTCTCGTTTTACTACAAATAGCTTTTGTTAGCTTTTATACCAGTATATGATATACTGTATACAGTAGTTATAAATAATGTGATGCTTTCATATATAAATTTGGTGAATAAAACTTTTATCATTTATAAGCAATTGATAAACTCATGAATTATATAAAATCTTAATTTTGAATTTGAGTCTCAGTCTGGAAATAGTGAGACAAACAAAGAATAATTTGGTTATATTATGCAACCATTCAATTGTTATTTCAGACGTCAAACACATAATAATATAAATTAATGAGACATTTATTGCTTTATATAAACCAAGAATAGACCCAAACTATTGCACACTTTCCTTCATCTATCTATCAATCATTTAATTGTTTATTATAATAGAATAAAATGTAAATTAAGTTAAATATATTATTGTATGAATATATTTACTGAATAGTAATTTAAGGAACAACAATATCATATATCATTTCTTAATTTAATCTATAAAAATGAGACCAAATAAATAAGTTAAGTAGGAATATAACTTATAAAAAATTGTTAGAAACCAATTAATTTATATAGTTTTGAGTTTTTCTATTTTAATATAATATTCTTATAATCCTTATAAATCTAATCTTATAAATATTTGGTTGAATTCAGACTAAGAAGGAGTTTAATTGAAATCGAGAATCCGGAAGAAGTGCTGAATGTTTTAGAATCTCTGTCACAAAGTATTGCAAACAGTGATTACGAGAACTACAAAACGTAAGTCTCTTTTCAAACTTATCATATCATCTCATTATATCATTTTTGTTGGACATTATTTTTTTCATTTTGTTGCAAAAGGAAATTAAATATTGTTTTATATTTTTACAACAACATAGTTAGTAAACAGTGTTTCATATTAGATAAATACTCAGTTATTCATTATTTTGTTAGCACAGACATTAATTTAAGTACTTTTTGAGTCATTTGGTGGTAAAGGCGTGTAATTTGTTTTTTGTAGCCAAAAGCGTGGCATTGATTTAGGATTGAGTCGTGGATTCTCCGGGAGTCAAGCGGCCAAACACCTGATGGGTATGTCCGCCGCCAGCTTCGCCAACGGGCCCGGCAGGAGACGCAAGTAAACCATCGGATGATCTGTTGTTTAGTATGACATCACCGCAAACATCATGATTTTGATCTCGATTTCTTAAATTATCAAAAATACTAAATAAAATAAATAAATATTTTAAACCATATTGTCCTCAAATTTTTAATTTTCAATGAAACGCCAAATCTTGAGGAATACACTTCAAAAAACAACTTGTTTAATTTTATTAATTATGTTATTATTATTAAATTTATTTATTGTTATTAATCTAAACATAGATCTTGATGTTTAGATAAACACACATTTTTGGTATTATTATTGTCAAAGTTATTGTGAATAAAAATAGGACTCAATTCCTATAAACAGATGAATAAGAGAATAATGTTATCAAATATCCGATAAATACCGATAAATATTTAGTGTTTATATCATCAATAATAACTTATTATTAAATAAGAATTTTGTTTAATTTGATTGAGATTTCAATACTCTTATAGATTTAGATGAATAAATAATTTTAAACGAACGAGAATATATTGATATGTGATTTATATTATTAAATAGATATGTTATGTTGTGTTCAAGTTTTTCATATAAACGTTGAAACTCTTTTGGATAAAATTCAGTTCATGACTGAGTGAACAAAATATAGTTCAATATATCACTCAATTTTATTCCTTAATTCTAAGACATTTTGCTTATTATATTTTTAAGTGTATATAAAAATTCTGTACATTCCATGTATTTGTTTGATTTGATTTTATGGACATATTAAATAAAATATTTGTGAATTTCAGTATTTATTTATTTATTAGTGTCTATATTTCTATACACCATATTACTTAAATTACGATACAATGCTATCCATCATTGGTTTCTATTTTGTCAAAATGCAATTTATTTTAATTTTTATATATAGTGTTTGCAATAATGTAAGTGGTTTTTGGTATGGAAACTCTTTCACTTTTACACTTACAAGTTGTGGTTTGAATCACACGAATAGAGTATAACATTGAGTTTAATTTTGTTAAGGAATCTCTAAGAATATCTTTAGGGGTTTCATTAGATTTTCAATATGAATATTAGTACAAATGTGTTGTTATTGTAGTTTTGAATTCTTCGTTATTTTCATTTTCAGTACTGAATGAGTATTCTCTCAATTCATTGACACAATCAAAGCTAATCTGAAGTCTATTCTAAGAAATAAACTCAACTCTCTAAGAAATGGTTAATCGCTTTCATTAGTATTTCTTATAATCATTTTACTCTTCTTTTCTCATTATTTTTCTATAATGTAATGAATTCTTTATTTCAAGTTTTCTTTACGTCAAAGTTATATACCATATGTACAAACCTCCCAAAGACATTGAAAGTTAGTATAAAACATAAGTAAGTGAAGTATAATATTCATATATTATACAGTAGACCATAAAAATTAATTTATTCTGATATTGCTTTCAAGCAATCCGTTATATTTCAAATATACTTCATTTCGATTTTAATGCAAATATTTTTGTTTTTGTTTATTAATAGTTATTTTTAAAGTCAAGTCAATCAATATAAGATATATTTAGATTAGTTTTCATAAATATGCAAAAAATATTCTAAACACTAGTATTTTCTGATTTCAATGTGATTAAGATTTGTATTTAAAACATTTTTATTTATTAAACAGCAAAATAATAATTTTAGAGTCTAAATTTAATGAAATTTTTAATAATTAAAATAAATATATACTTTCATAAGAACTAGAAATTGAAATTTAGTTACAAATTAGATGTAATATACGGTGTGTTTGTCTTACTTGACGCTTAAACTTAGATTTATAGTAATTGTAAGAAATTAGACCGAAATAAATATAGTCTAATCTGTTTCAGAGTCACACAAATGTGACAACACTTTCCCAGAGTCAGAGTCTCTTTAATCTTAATTTATTTACTTTTGTCCTCAAAAATAATATCAGAGTTAACTAACATTAACACATTGTTATGAAATACAAATTCATAATTTGTTTTTCACATTCTGTACAAAACTGTTTTCAACAAAATACTAAACGTGAGATGACTTTTATAGAAATTGTATTCATTTTGATTTCCATAGAAAGCTTTATTGTGTCAAATCTATTATTTTATAAATCAATCAAATGTTTATTTGACGAAAAAATGATAGTTTTATCGAATCATTGCTTTTATGATTGATTTTGTTTTGTATAATATTTATTACTCAACCGTAAAATTAAAATACTATTACTTTTATATATTTCTTTATATTGTATTATATTTATATTAATTGTAGTAAATTCATTGACAAAACATTGATTTTTCTTACTTGTTAACTTATTTTATTGCAAATATTTAAATAATAAACAAAATTATTTGTTTAACTCAATACTATAAGATTTACTATAAAATTATTATTTGAGAAAACATTAGTTAATTTTCTTAAATAAACAGATATTATAGATATTTACAGTAAGATTTCAGTGGCATTACATCATTTATTTCTAAGACATTTATAAATTTGTATATAACATTTTTCTCTATATTTTGATTATTTATTAAATAATTTAACTAATAAATAATTTTAAAATATATATTCAAATATTATTTGAAATGTAAGCAAACACAACAAAAAATGAGATTCTATTACAATTGACATATGAATTAGATTTAATTAAAATAATAATTAACTAATTAATATATTTTTAAATAAATAATGATAAGGAGATTGATTTTATACAAAGTTTACAATAAATAAATTAAATGATAAATAAAATTAATTTGTTTATTATATTTTGATTATTTATTAAATAATTTAACTAATAAATAATTTTTAAATATATATTCAAATATTATTTGAAATGTAAGCAAACACAACAAAAAATGAGATTCTATTACAATTCACATATGAATTACATTTAATTAAAATCATAATTAACTAATTAATATATTTTTAAATAAATAATGACAAGGAGATTCATTTTATACAAAGTTTACAATAAATAAATTAAATGATAAATAAAATTAATTTGTTTATTCAAATAATACTATAGATCTCCTTCTCCTCCTTTTCCCCGGATTGGAGGGTAAGTTGGCGCTGAAGAGGCCGAGGAGGTGTTTGGCCGCCTGTGCCCCAGAATAACCCCGATTCAAACCGAAGCCAATTCTCTTTTCACTAAATTATAAATATTTCATTTAATACAAGTTTTCAATGTTTAACAACAAGTGATGACTGACTCAAGGATTTGTTGGACTTCATTGTCATCCAAATTGTCTTTCCGTAAAAGTCTTAATACTTGAAAGACATCCTCTTTCGGGGAATCAACGTGTCTTCGGTTTCTGAAATAAATAATTTAAAAATAAATATTTCTTTATTCATTTATACAACATATTTGTTCATTCAATTCGTATAAAAATACAAGTGCCTAAAGTGTTGATGAAGTTAATTATCTTATTTTTTAAATAATTATTTCCTAGACATTTTCTAATCAAATAACTATTTTTATTTGTTCACTAAATGTTTGCAAGTGAGGTTTCATAATTGTAATCTAATACTATTTTGCTATTATGATTACTTTCATATGAAATTCAGTATTTATAAATTGTTGTCTGAAATAGATTTTAATCAAAAATGATTTCTAAATTAAATATATCTTAGAGACAGGAACTACTGTATAATATTTCAAATAGAAATATTAGAATATAATAAGTTTACAGAACTTATCGAAATTAAAAGTTGACATTAATAGAAATGAAATGTGTTTACAAGTGATTAAAAGCCCACTTTTGAGATATTTAGTAGTTTGCGAAGAATCAAAGGCTTAAACAAATCCAAGTTTAATGACTCAAACTTTTCGAAAGGATTGCAAATATCAAGAATACAAAGAATACGATAAAAACAAAGCATTTAACAAAATATAGAGTTTTTCAGATAATCATTAAACTCTAAATCCATTCTCATTTGTTTGGATCTCATGTAATGATTGTATTAATTGAATGAATAAATTATAATAAACACATAGAATTAAAAACTAAATTAATTATTAGTTTTCAAAATAATGGTTTTGAACTTAATTTAATTATAAAATATATTCATTTAAAACATAAAAGATCTAAAGAAAAGTCAAATAAGTAATAAGAGGAAAGTTAATGTCCTTTACAAGACCTTCAGTCGTGACACTGATCACTGATCAGCCGAGACTACCAGTGCTCACACTTAAGGACAATATTAGGAAAGTTAGTTAAAAGTCAAAGTTATATTATATAAGTTCTAAATAAAGCAAGGAATGCAAGAATTTCGGACTTATTTGTGAGATAAGTATTGGAAATAAATATTTGGTATTGAAATAAGACATACTTTAATGTATACCTCCTAACGAGTTGATCGAAATCAAGTTTAGCACAATTCAAGTGTTGCCAAAATGAGCAAAAATATAGATAAATAAAAAGTGTGGTTATGGTTGATGTCACGTACAACGATCGGCTCATTTTACTACACAAACTGGTATGAAGTATACTATACACAACACCACTGCATATAACTTATATAACTTTTGCGTCAAATAGCGATACACTTCCCAACAGTTACTGCAATTTGTAGCGATATTTCCAAATGACTGTCGACTCGAGAACTCAGAAACTTTTTTGAGTCTCTTTTCATTTATAAGTAGAAAATCTAATTCTGTCAGATCATGATATCATTCATAGGCCCATCCCATCCCACACTCTCACCACTATATCTCGATTTTGTTAAATAAATTCAATAATTCCTATTCTTTGGGAAATTACAACACATTTTGACGTTCACTCTCTTCTCGTTTAGTTTGAGTCCATTTGTTGGTAACGAAGAACTGCCCACAAAGGGGACGATAAATGATAGGCTTTTATTGTTTTCTTTTATGTAATCATATTTTCGTGTTTCAAAAGTTTTTATAAAAAAGTTTTTATAAATGTCCTTAAAATTGTTTTTCGGGCCTCCAATTCTCTCAATGAGAATCTATTATTCATAACAAAAACAGACAAAAATGTCAAAAACATAAATAAATAGATAGCATCTTATTATAAAATATTGTGCCTTTTCTTAATATATAATTATAAATCTATATAAGGTTCTTTTATAAGATTACTCAAATGCTTACAAATACCGGTAATAAATAAATTAAAGGTTTATTATATAGTTTATTAATTATCCAGTACAATCAATCAGTTTTACTCGTATAAGAAATAAATAA